ACCTATGAAGCCGCTAGTCCAGATTTAAGTAGGAAGCAAAAGCTCCAGGAAGTTTCCTGGAAAGAAAAGAAAAACTGTCAGTTTATCTGACAGTGTAACCAAGTGGAAAATCATGAGCAGGGGCATTTTATAGACTTACTGGAGGGTGTGAAAAGTCACTGTTTAAAAAAAAAAGCGATCCTCCTTTTCTTTGAAAAAAATAAAAAACAAAGGAAGAAGTGAGGCAATTATTAACTCCAAGAAAACAGTAAGTTGTACCAGAAAGAAAATGTCATCATAGTACATTTTGTGGTGCAGCAATGATCAAAATACAATGAAAATACTAAATATGGACTAATCCCAAATTGTGACTAACATATTTGGAGATAACAGGAAGGAAGCAGGCAGGGGAAAAGTTGTAAGAAAGCCAAAATTCTTGCCACGTGTGGTGACTCATGCCTGTAATCTCAGCACTTTGCAAGGTTAAAGTGGGAGGATTGCTTGAGGCCAAGAGTTCAAGACCAGCCTGAGCAAAAACAAGACCGTCTCTACAAAAACTAGAAAAATTAGATCGGCATTGTGGTGCGCACCTGTAGTCCCAGTTACTCAGGAGGCTGAGGCAGGAGGATCATGTGAGCCCAGGAGTTCCAGGTTGCAGTGAGCTATGATGATGCCACTGCACTCAAGCCAAGGTGACAGACCAAGACTCTGTCTCAAAAACAAAACAAAAAAAACATAAAACAGTGCATATGAGAGGTTAGCACAGTGCGTGGCATAATATATGGTAGCTTGTTATTTTGAAAAAATGACAGATATTTTAAAAATCTAGGCAGGGGTAAATGAGCATATATAAATAAATAAAGTCAGAGTGAGTTTAGTGCACAAAATGCATGACATGACAGTCTACTTTGCTACAAGCTGGCCCCAAATTTGGCTTTGAATTGCAAAAGAAAACAACACAAAGCCTATACAACAAAAAAACAGACCAGTTGAACAGAAGCACAATTATTCCTGGTATCGAGGCTAGAGATAAATATCTCCTATAGGTTCTCTGAGGTAGGATATTGGATGTTATAATAAACAAATTCTACATCATTGTAGTACAAATAATTTCTTCAGGCTTCTGTACTATTTCACAATGTCCCTAAACGTAAGCAAACAGAACAATGTAGCCCATATATTTAGCTCTGACAAAATCCAAGACAAAAAATTTTTTATATGAATAAAAGGGTAGACTACCTATCCTTTAGGGAAGTTTCCATGGATATTTCTATCAGCTAAATTTTTTGGCCAACAAGATTTTGCCAATATCCACTTCAAAAGTCCAGGTTTAAATTATATCCAAGACTAAGTTTTCCCACTTGTCTTTCTCTACAAAAAGACGGAAGAAAAACAAGAGTAAAAGAGATTGGGTTCTTACGTCCTAAAATTCATAATACAAGGAGTAAATGAACAAAAAAGGAAAGCAACACTTCCCATGTCCCAAATGTGGGGGAAACTCTATTCTTTATTCTTACAAAATCAAAGTAACATCCTTCTTAGCAAGTATATATGAATTAAGATTAATTCTTCCACTTATACTATATTTTTATGGAAGGAAAAAAGTAAGTAGAGACTATAGTTGAAAATTAGTAACTAGTTTTGGTTAACTGAACATAAATATCTTTAGTCGTCTGAAAAGGAGACAACAAAAATGGTATAAAATAACTTTTATTTACATAATGTATATATATAGAACATAACTGCTTTCTTTAGAACAAGAAAATTTACAAATGACAGATATTGCTTTTTTTGTCAAAGACTTCTTCAAGCAAGATAGTATACATGGTCACTTCTATTTCAAATAACATGATGGTAAACAGTGGATATTAATATCTTATCTGTGCTTCAATCATTTATCAACCATTAGGCTTTTAAACCATCATGTTGATCACTTGGTAAGATGTAAGTGTTCAGGAGGAATAGTCAACAAAAGATGAAAACCTTTAATCATATCTCCTTTAAGGGTTTATATAATAAATCCTTTGTAACATATTCTTTACATGAATCAGACTTAACATAGGTCTTTTCGCCTTGTAAGGTAAATACACTATTAAATTTCTCTTTTTCCAAGATTAGTTTTAAGGATATAATAGTAAGATGATTTAGCCAGCTGACTTGATTCTCTAATATAATGAATGCCCCTGTATTCTTTACAGTAAAAAATTACATCTTCCATAAAATTAATTTATTATAGATGAAAAAGAGACAGATGTTAACAAAGTTAAAAAATAAATATGACACAGGGATAAATAATAGTTTAGTCATGGCAATCTAACACCCAATCTAACACTTAATTAAGAGAAAGAAACCTTTTCAGAATGAGAATTTTAAAAATTTACAAAAACAGGGTATTAAAACAGCAATGTGATTTACTACCATGATTTTTGTGATACATTAATCATATAAAATAAATACCTACTTCAGAGAATTTCCACTCAGAATTTTAGATTCTCCTTTTTTTAAAATTTTCTTTTTTGTTTTTAATCTACCCAAGATAGTACTTTAGATCCTTCTTTATGACAAAAAAGTTAAGTTGTAAATTTCACTGAAAGGCAATGGATAAGTGCTCTAATAGCAGTAGCTTCAATAAATTCTCTTTTACTAAGGAACTTGAAAACTTGCCACCATTTTTTCAATATACAAACACAATTACCTAGACTTTAAAATATTTTCTCAATCAAAATACTGATCATTACATAATGCCATGAACACAGTTTTAACTTTTAGGCATAACTCGTAACTTCAATGACAAATAACTCATACATACAGACATCAGCACCTTAAGTTAAGAAAATTCCTTCTAATGTAGGGACCAATCCAGGCACGGTCCTTCGTTCAAGTACTGTCTGTGGCTGCTTTCACACAAAAATGGCAGAATTGAATAGCTGCCACAGAAGTCTCTCTGGCCTGCAAACTCAAACTTGCAGAAAACGTGTCCAACCTCTGAACTAATAATGTATTATCAACCCTGAAGGATTTTCAAATAAAATCAGAATAAATATGCTCTTTGAGAAGTTTAATTTGAACTATAAAAGATTTTGCTTGGGTAGATAATAGAATTACATATGCAAATCATCAAATCTTGAAATTAAAAACAAAACTTAAATTCATACTGTTAATAATCACTGACTTTATAAAGTCTTATTTTTTGTTTTGAACATCACAATTATGCTCTGTGCTTAAAGGACTAAGTGTTCCTTAAGCAGAATTTAATGGGGAAAAAATTATCAAGAGCTTAGTTTTTTTTGTTGTTTTTTTTTTTGAGACAGAGTCTCACTCTGTTGCCTGGGCTAGAGTGCCGTGGCGTCATCCTAGCTCACAGCAACCTCAAACTCCTGGGCTCAAGCGATCCTCCTGCCTCAGCCTCCCGAGTAGCTGGGACTACAGGCATGTGCCACCATGCCCGGCTAATTTTTTTCTATATATTTTTAGTTGTCCAATTAATTTCTTTCTAATTTTAGTAGAGACGGGGTCTCGCTCTTGCTCAGGCTGGTTTTGAACTCCTGAGCTCAAACAATCCGCCTACCTCAGCCTCGCAGAGAGCTAGGATTACAGGCGAGAGCCACCGCACCCGGCCAAGAGCTTAGTTTTTTAAAAAGGAATGTGTGTGTGTGCATATACAGAAAGAAAATTGAGTTTTGTACGGAAATTTGCCTCATAAATGAAGTTAAGAGTATTCCCCCCATGAAAATCCTGAGATTATCCAAGAAGTAAGAAAAACAAAAAAATTCACAGTACAAAGTCAATATACTAAATGATGAGAAAAAAATGTTTTCAAGACATACTATCCTAGGATTTTTAGTTATATCATTTTAAATATCTTTAAAATTGAAGAGGGAAAGGAGACAAATTTGTTAATGCCTTCTTTACCCATAATCTGAGGGGTAAAAATAACTAAAACTGAATATCCTTTTAAATAAAAATTTTAAATATAAATAAGCTCTTTGATGTCTCATCTTTATAAATAATAAGGTTAAATACTAGTTCTTCAATTAGGGCTAATGTTACATCACCACGAATCAGAAAAATAAATTATTTTCCAGTCAGCCAACCAGCTGATAAAGTTTTTTTAACATTTACCATACTAAAATAGAGTCTGACAATTTGTTTTCATATATAGTCATGTGTCATTTAACGACGTGTTCTATGAAATGAGTTGTTAGGCCATTTAAATGAAATGAGTTGTTAGGCCATTTCACTGATGTATGACCATCACAGAATGTACTTATATAAACCTAGATGGTATAGCCTACTACATACCTAGGCTATATGACATAATCTATTGCTCCTAGGCTATAAACCTGTTCAGCATGTTACTATACTGAACTGTAGGCAACTGTAACACAGTAAATATTTATGTATCTAAACACAGAAAAGGCAAATGTGTTGTGTTACAATGGCTTCCATGTCACTGGGCAATAGGTATTTTTCAGCTCCATTATAATCTTATGGGACCACCTTCCTATGTGTGGTCTGTCATTGACTGAAACGTTATGTGGCACATGACTGTACTCAGAGGCAACTGAAAAGGTCTTCATAATCCCGCCCCCAGAAAAAACAAAACACAACGAAACAAAAAACCTTCACAAAGGAAACTCCTAAATGTTAAATACAATACAATCAACCTCCAAATACATCGGCAGTATGATTGATACAGAGAAATTTATCCACAACATCCCCAAATGTCCATGTGTGCTCAGCACAGAAAGAGTCAAAATGTAAACAAGAGTTGTTATTTCTGAGAAAGCAGTCTTAATTGCTTGGTATTTCCAAAGTGCTGAATTATCAGAATGAAAGGAACCTCAGAAATGTTTTCCACTGATTATAAAAGCTTCAAATCAAGCTCATTATACACTCAAAATCAACCTGAAAAAAAAAAAAAAAACAGACAGTGATGCTTTTCTCTAAATACTGCTTTGTTGATGTAATTGACTCTGGAAATCCCAGGCTTTAAAAAGAAAAAAGAAAAGAAAAGAAAAAGTAAGAGACTGTTTTATTCTGTTTCATCCACTTCAACGAAGATATCACTGAAGAAATACTCAGAGACTATGGCTGATTCTTCTTCAGGTGCTCCGTTTTGGCCACTTTTACATCCTTCTTTCAGTGAAGGCTGGTCAAAAAAACAAAACAAAACACACAATACAACATATATATATTGCTAGTGGTAGTCTAAACTGATATAATGTTTGAAAAGCAATACGGTAATAAATATTGAGGTTTACATATGTTCCATACTTACAGATACAACAATTTCATTTCTATGCTGGTATATTAAGTAAATAATCCTAAACATAGTAAGAGTTTTACGAATAACCTTATAGCATTAGTTATAAAATTAGAAACAGCTAATATATAACACTAGACATAATTAGATAAATTATAATGGACCTATGACCCATTACTTTAATTTCCATAAAAAAATTTAATAAAAATAACACTATTAAATCTGTAATAAAAATACTGGCATAAAAATTACTGGCATAAGAATAGACAGACGCGTGAAATAGAACAGCACCTAAAGGAAACATCACAAATCAAAGATAACCTTCTCAAAAAGTAGCACACTTACAAATCAATATGGTATTGGCACAGGAACAATACCAGTGAAACAGAGACTAGAAATAACCCCAATGTATATGGAAATTTAGTATCTGATAAAATTGATATTTAAAAAAAATACTGAAAACAGTTGGATTATTCAATACATGATGGTGGACAACTATATAATCATCCCAGGGTTTAAAAAAAAAAGTCAGACCTATACCTCATGAAAATTAATTCTAGGTGGATCAAAAGATTTAAATGTAAAAGCATTTTTTAAAAAAACCTACCATAAAACATCATGTAAAACACTTTTATAATTGTGAATTTGGGGGGCAGAGAAAGGGTACCTTTTTAAACTACCTGAAAGCCAGAAGCCATAAAAGAAAGATTAATAAATTCATCTACACAAAATAAAAAATGTCTGCATAGCAAAAAGCACCATACACAAAATCAAAAGACAAATGACATACTGAGGAAAAAAAACCTTGAGACTTTTAACACAAAGGGGGGTTTTTCCTTAATGTAACAAGAACTTCTACAAAAATCAATATGAAAAAGATCAATATCCCATCTTTTCAAAAAAGTCAAATGCTATGAACAGATGTTTTGCAGAAAATAAAGGATAAATGATTCAAACACACAAAGAGATACTCAACCTCACTCAATAAATATATATGCTCAATAAATCTACAAAGAAATGACGTAAGTGAAAGCATTTAATAATTAACAACATACTGGTGTGGGGGGAAAGGCCCTCCCATACACTCCTAAAAAAAAAAGAGCAGAAATTGACATAATTCCTATGGAGGATAATCAGGCAGGACAATTAGTCGGAAGAATTCTGTTTCTAGGAATTAAACCTATGGATAAAAGTGCAAGATGATTCATTTATAAGTTAGCTATTACCACGTAGTCTGAAATAGCAAATTTTTAAGAACAACCTAAATGTCTACCACTAGAGTGACTAGTTATCACTCTATGCTACAATCAAATATACTATATACTGATTAAAAACAATGAAGATACTCTTTGGCACTTATTCCTAAAAAATGAAAACTTAAATTCATATGAAGACCTGTACATCAATGTTCATAGCATCTTTATTCATAATAGCCAAAAAGTAAAAACAAACCAGATGTCCTTCAATAGGTGAATAGATAAATAAAACTGTTGGCCAGGCACAGTGGCTTACGCCTGTAATCCCAACACTTTGAGAGGCTGAGGCAGGAGTATCACTTGAGCCCAGGAGCACGAGACCAGCCTGGGCAA